TGATACACTATGCATTAATATGATTAATTAAATACATATATCATGTATAAGTTTATATGCATTGTCGAAATTAAGAAAATTTAATAGAAAGTTTCTAGTTAGTACGCGTATCAAATGCTGGGTGTAAACTAGGCCATTGGCTCATCGATATTATAAATGGCTACCGAATGAATAATTTTACATCAACAATTGTTATGATAAGTTAGAACATTTTATTTGCATATAATAATATATATTCATGCTCGATCTAGTACATATAAATATTACTTTTTAACTTTTTTTCTTATCGTCAAGAATATATTTTATAATCCGTCTACAATTCGACACCATTTTTAATATTTTTGTAGTACTTTTGCGATATTGCCCTAAGCCGGTCGCGCTTCTCTGATTATCTAGGACTCTAAAGAGATGCATAGGGAATTCCCAGTAACAAATGTGAGTTTCTGATGTCATTTTACTCGATTCTCGAACAAAACAAGGTTGCTAGCCGTATGCGTATTAAACAATTAACAAAAGCTTTGTTGTTACGTGTATTTACCTATAATATTGCATAACAGATTCAATCATAATTCAGGTTATTTTATTACTATATATTAATAAAATAACAGGTATGTATTGTTTTAATATAATTACAAATTTTTGATCTTTTTATTATGCATTTTAATGTGTATTTCTAATATGTAGATTAACTTTAATCTCGGTACAATATAGAAATTTAATTTTTGTTGTTTTATAACTCTTAAAACTTGAGAAAGATAAAAGTTAATCTTTATTGGTAGAAATGGACACACGAACCGTATATTCGTTTTTAATAATACTTTCTTGTCCTTTCTACTACTTATATGTACACTTAAAATAAATGGATAAGAGAATAAGTCAGATTATTTATGAAAGAGAACAGAAAGAAATAGACTAATAAAATCTATAATTAGGCCAACAGAATTTCTATTGAGAATTTAATTTTAAATATAAAAATGCATCAAACATTTTGTCAATATATGTAATTTTTATGTAAATTTATTTATCAAGGACATGACTGACGAACAAGAAAGAATGAGCATAAAGGCAAAGCTTTCGAAATTACATTGTCCCTTTACATGGGAAATATTAGACAGCTTTATAAAACATCAAACAATATATCATGAAAGCAGTAACAACGAAAAGGATCAGATGGATGATGAAACATTTTATCCATTAGAACAATTACTAATATGTTTATTCAAATGTTATAAAGCAGTGTCAAGTATAGATAATGATGAGGCAACAAAAAATATTGAAAAAGCTGGAGAGATTTTAATGCAAATTCAACAAGAGTATAATACACAATATTTATGTTACATTTTTAAAGTTTCTTAATATAGGTATGTTATTATATTGTGCATAATTACAGGAAAGAGTTTTGTCAGATGATACGAGCAATAGAACACGTATTTTATGCTACGAAATGTTTCTTTCTATATGATGCTGATGATATGGATGGATTGGAAGAAATATTACAAAATATTATTGATCCTGAAGAGTTCAGTAATATAGAATTAGGTGCTTTATATGGCTGCCAGAGTGTGATTTGGTCTAAATTAAATGATTTTGGCATGAACGAAGCAGTTGATACTGCTAAGAAAGCAGTGGAAAAGAATCAAGAATGTGCATTATGGCACTTTATTCTCGCAAAGAATCTTAGACGTCAAAGACGTCTACTAAATATTTCATCTAACGTATCAGATATGGAAAAAGAACATTTTGAAATAGCATATGCTATTTCTAAGAATGATGTGTTTGGCGTATATTATTTGCAAATGCGCCTTGAATGTTTTTATAAATATAGTAAAGAACGAAATTATGTAATGAGAAAAATTGCTAATGAAAGAGACGTCATGTATACAGCTAAACAAATTTTAAATACAAAACCTACAAATTATAAAGTATTACTAAGACTAAGTCTTATTTTTCTGCGTGCAAGCTCAGATGAAAGGTTATCAGCAAAAAAATGTCTTGATGCTATATACAAAATAGCGCCAAATAGTCCTACATATCTGCACTATACTGCAATGTTATATGAACAGAGTGGAGATTATAAAGTTAGTATAATAACAGATTCACATAATGTATAATTTTATTGTACTAAAAAAATTAAATCTAAATTCTAAGTTCTGTAAAAGAATTATGATAATGAATAGAATTGTTATATTAGCTATTGATACAAAATATTTTATCATTGGTAATAAACTTATTTCATATCAAAAACATGGCTAACGAGCAAGATAGAATGAACACGAAGATAAAGCTTTTAAAATTACACTGTCCATTTACTTGGAAATATTGGACAGTTTCATAAAACGTTTAATATTTTATATTATAAGCAAATATATAATAAACAAATATTGATTTATTGGAAAAATATATTTTTTATTATATTCTTTTATTTGTGCATGATTCATTCTTATTAATTAATATCTCAGTAGTTTGATGTTTAATATTATCTCTTTATTTTTGAAAATTTTATACGTTGCATTTTTTAGGAAGCTCTTAAATATTATAAAATGGCTGCAGAATGTAATAATTTGGTAGCAGAGCTTGCTTATATACAATATGGTTGGGAAGTAGGAGAGCTGGAACCACTACCACATTTGTTGCGAATGTTGAAGAAATATGAGCAATCAGTTAAAGAACGAAAAATAAATATACTGCTTGCGATTGCGGTAACTTATTATTCTCTTCAGAAAGATATACCAAATGCAGCAGAATATTTTTTAAAAGCTCTAAAAGTAGATGCATTGAATAACAAGTTCAAGGTATTTTAATATAAAAATTGAAATATACACATATATATATATATATATAT